TGGATGGCGCCAATCTGAAGTGTACTCACTTCAACGGAAGGAAACACTGGGCTGAGTTGCGGTACGCCGAGTTTCAGTGTGATCGCGTTCGGAAGTTCGCCGAGTTGAGTGCTGGTAAACGCTGAACCGAAGATACCGAATTCAAACTGAGTTTGAACGCAGCCGAGCTCGCGGCGAGCCGAGTTGGAATGCGACCGAATGTAGTGCTGTTCCAGTCGAGCTTGCCCACCACCTTCCCAACCAAGCTGAGCCCAGTCGGGGTAAGCTGGTCTAACAGAGCTGGAGACATGCCGAAGTCAAGGTCCGTTGACCACTGAACCCAGCTCGGTCCGTTCAGGACAACTCGACTGGAGCATCAAACGCGCGACGAACTCGCCGGACACGGCAGCGAGGCGGTGAAGAGCTTCCCACTCAACGTGAAGCGTGTTCAGACTGAGCTCGGCTACACCTCGAACTCAGCATGAGCGCTCTCCAATCGGAACATGGTGGGCAGAGAGCAAGTTCGCGGTGGATGCGTTGCGGGAACATTGACGAGAGGCAGACGTGCGAGCTGCATGAACGGAGGGTGCCAATTGGCGGAGAGGACGATCGACGTGCGGTCGTGTGGAGAAGCGCGAGAACAAGATTTGTTCTCTGAGAAAGGCGTCATAACCGATCGACCGAAAATCAAGGAGATCGACGATCGAGAGAAGTGCGACGTGAATAAGACTGGGATTGTGTAGATCAAGAAGGTTCGACGAGCGATCGAGGCATCTGGATAATGCTCGCGCGTAGGCGGAGTGTGGTACGAGGTAGATCACAGCTGATCGACACATGGAGAATGGTGGTACCTCGTTCGAAGAGCGCGTCTCGAAGGCGAAGAGCGTCACGCGCGATATCGTAGATTTGGGACGGCGGAAGACCGAAGTGGACAGATCGCCGATCCAGCACGGCGGATCGTGGATCGCTGATTGAGGGTCGATCGCGATCGCCGATTGCCGATCGACCAAGATGAGAAAATATGAAAAATGGCGTCCCATCCCTAAATAACGCACTACATCTGGATATAGCACACGTACACTGTAACGGGGTTACACGAGAGTTACCCGAAGGGTTACGAAGTGGGTACACACTGTTTAGCCTAAATCAGTAAGAGAATCAGTACATGGCTTCAGAGCCACTGATTATGTATATGACTAGGCTTCACTATGCTAGATAGTGAACCGGATACATTTACACCGTAGGCGGCTTGGTCGCGCTAAAGAGAAATAAATTCAGTTTGAGATTCACACAGTTAAGATTGTCCGGTGTAACCCTTGACCACACGAGTTTTCCCCACCTCACCCGGGTTGAGTGGGAAGCTCTTCACCGCCTCGCTGCCGTGTCCGGCGAGTTCGTCGTCACGTCGCTGCTGAGCTCAGCGACCACCGACCAACAACGCCAGGCTGCCCAAGAGTTCATGGAACGCGAGCTCGCCGATGCCAAGCGGCGAGTGTCAACTCCCTCGCATTCAGGAACGATGCGGTGAAGATGGAGACGTCGACGTATTCCGGCGCCGGCCAAGACCGACTGCCCCTGAACCGCTGGTTCAGGGAGATCGACGTCGCCATCGCCTCGAGACTGATCGAGGCGCCGACGGCGAAAGTGAACTTCCTCCTGTTGCGTTTGTCGGGGAAGGCGAAGGAGTGGGCCCTTGGCAAGCTTGTTGTAGACCAACACGCCTTCCCGAGTCTGGACAGTCTCCAGAAAGACCTTCGACTTGCGTTCGAGCCTCCGCAAGACGAATCGCGGATGCGTGCTGCGTTCTTCGCGTTGAAGCATGGCAAGCTGTCCATGCGCGACTACGTACAGAAGACTCGTCACCTGGCCTCGTGCATCGTCACGAGCCCCATCGACATGGCTTCGCAGGTCCACGTCTTCGTGTTTGGCATGCGAGAAGGAATGACGCGCTACTGTCTCACGCGTGCCGAGCCGAAGTCGCTGGAAGAAGCGTTCGTCCTCGCATTGCGCGAGGACTACACGGTATCCGCTTCGTACTCGCGACAGTTGCCGTCGGACACTCGGGCAGCGATGCCCGAGCCAATGGAAATCGATGCCGTCGAAGCCGCGAAGAATAACCGGCGGTACTACTCGCGCGGCGGCCGCAATTCTCGTTCGCTGACCTGCCACCGTTGTGGGAAGTTGGGTCATCGCGCGGCAATCTGCCACGCGCCTGCGCCGATGCACGCTGCAGTCGCTCGCGCCGACGATGAGCTCCTGGCCGTTCAACAAAAAACGACCGGGACCAGTAAGTGCGGGGCGCCCTACTGGCTGGAACGGAGGTCCGGGTCCCCCGGTGGCAACCCGATCTCCTAGCCCCCACTGCTTCACGCACACTTCAATGCCACCACCACCAGCGGCGACCACAGACTGATCATCGTCAGCCTGCACGTCGCCGGCGCGCGGCGTCCTCTCCGTGCGCTCCTGGATTCGGGCGCAACGAACAACTTCTTCCACGCCTCGTGTTTGTCGCTTCTTTCCTCGGACATATCCGTCTGCGAGGGTCCCGGCGTCGTCTTCATTAAGCTCGCTGACGGCATGCCACACCGTGTCCCACGGCATGATATCACGCGCCGTACACGTTCGACGGCTTCCGTAGCAACGACGACTTCCTGGTGATCGAGATGAACTACGCGTTCGACTGCATCTTGGACATACCGTGGCTGACACGGTATCAGCCGAAGATCGACTGGCTGGCCCGATCGGTCAAGCGTCGAGCCGACTACGATGTGAGTGAAGTGTTCACTCATCTCCTGGTCGCTCCGACGGACTGGCCCCACGTTACCGTCGTGGATCGTTCATCCACGACGCAAGCCCTACACAGAGCGAGCGATGGCCCTCTCTGTATGGCATGTGCGGTGCTGTTGGATGAACCGACAAATGAACCCAAAACCTCGCAGCGAAGCGAGGTTGTTGCGAGGGCGGTCGAGCGAAGGCGACTCCCGCGAACCAACGAGGCGGTCGAGCGACGTGGGCTCCCGCGCCCCAACGAGGCGGTCGAGCGACGTGGGCTCCCGCGAATCAACAAGGCGGTCGAGCAAGCGGTGCTCCCGCGTACTTCCGGTGCGGACGGGCTCGACACTCCGCACCTAGAGGAGGGTGAAGTATCGTCCAGCGATAGCGACAATGTGTCGTCCAGTGCCAGCGAGTCGTCCACCTCGAGCTCCTGCTCGAGGTCTTCGAGGAGGAAGAGGAGGAAATCCAAGCGACAGCGTCTCAGGCCACGGAACAACACTAAAACCGCACCTCCCCCGACGGAATCTGTCTGCGCTGTCGAATACGTGGACGGAGCACGCGGGTCATCGAAGTCGCGAGTCCACCTCGCGACGCTCGCGGAATCACTCGGCTCCCCGGGCTCTCGTGGAAACACTTCCTTCGCGATCCGAAGGCTGGTGACATCGAGCAGGTGTGTTTGATCACCGAGACCAACGGGACAGCCGAGGGTCTTCACGCACTCAGCGGTGACGACGCGTCGTCGCGGCCGAGGAGTGCCGAACCGAAGTCTGCCCGCGAAGAGCGATTCGCAGCGCAGTCCTGGGAAGCGCTGAAGAAGTCGGGTAACCCAGTCTACGATACCGCGCGCGAGTTTGAAGACGTCTTCCCTGATGAGATCCCCGCCGAGCTTCCAGCCGACCGCGGAGTTCGGCACGAGATCGACCTCGCGCCCGGAACGAAGTACTGCGTGACGCGGCAGTAGCCACTACCGCGAGACCAGGTCAAGGCCATCGACGAGTTCTTCGAAAAGCGCCGCCTGGCTGGCCACGTCCGCGATAGCACCTCCCCACACTCTAGCCCCACGTTCTGTGTGAAGAAGGCGACTGGCGGCTGGCGCATCGTCCACGTGTTCAATAAGCTGCGACCATCCCGACACAGACCCCGATCCCGCGGAAGGACATGGTACTCGACTCCATGCCAGGTAGCGTCATCTATAGCGCCATCGACCTGACGGACGGCTTCTATGAAGCTATGTGACGAGCTCAACGGTCTACAGAGTTGTCGTCCTCTCCGAGGAACTGTTTCGTAAAGCACACTAGTGTTAGAAAAAAACTAAGTTTCATAATAGGCTGGCGAGCAAACGCCGCGCCGATAATAGTGACTGAAGACACTACGCTCATTCGGTGAGCAAACGCTGCACCTCCCCATGAGCGAACGCTGCACAGAAAAATCGGCTATGCTACAGTTACCGATCAGTCGCTTGTCTAACGCAAAGTAGATTGCAGTGTGGGGTTCCGTGGTCCATCGCTGTTTTGGCCTCGGGGCCAAAGTTGTTCCTGCCTTCTAGCCGCACTCCCGGCAGAGGCCGGAGAAGCCCCCATCGTTGGCGGGCCTCAAGGCGACTCTTCCTACCCGGCCGCAGATCTCAACTATGGGAAGGCTAGACACGTTTTAGGCCAATCATAGTCTGTAGGTCAAATATATGCATTATAGTATGGAGCCAAAGTGCGTGTGGGCTCGCTTCCTTTTTGTGTAGAAACATATGCGTCCAGGATGAGAGACGAGTGCCGCGAGGGCGGCGAGGACGGCAAGGGCGACAAGTTTAGAACGTCAACTACATAAAGATTATTTTTAGGTTGCCTTCTGCAATGTCATAGCGCCTAGCAACCTCAGTGGACATTTATATACGTATTTTGCAGGTCTCGCATGGGAAATGATCTCGGGTGGTCAATTCCGTATGCAATGCAGAAGAATGTTGCCGCACGGAGTCTCGATGACGGGCAGCGCAATGGACGCGTTGCGTCGTGAATTCATGCGCCAAGGTGTTCAAGGACAACACATCCGCCGACACATCATAGAATTTGTGCTGGGGCCGCCACGCCTTATTAGAAGGCCCGATGTGGTGAATGCTTTTGTCGAGCTTCAACAGGAACCCCAGCCTCCCCCGAATCCGCCACACCAAGTGCAACAAACACCAATGGAAGAGGGCCCCGAACATCAACATCAAAACAACCTAGAACTCCTACTCCCAGCTCACGCTACTGCCTATGATCCTCGTGCACCAGAACCTAATCCAGCCCGCGCTACCGCTCTTGATCCTCGTGGACCAGGGCCGGCCGTACAGCAGGGACAGCCAAGCCGCAGGGCGATCCGAACACGGTCAACCTGTGCAGCGCCCGGACCAAGTTGCTGAAAGACGTCTAGCGGATTTCCTACATCAACTAGAACCCGTCGTGATTCCAGACGACGCGCCCGAAATTTCCGCGGCAAGAAATGCCGCCGATGAGCCCGACGATCAGCGTTACCCTTATATCCGGGTAGTACAATGGATCTATGACGGTATCGAAATGAGTGCTGAGGTCCAGTGGCACAACACTATCGAACCTGCAAGAAATCTTACCCCCGAAGATCAAGCGGAGGCCCAGCGCCAACTACGTGTACACCAAGACCGAGCAGGGGCCCAGCGCCGTAATATCATTGAACCCGTAGAAGATCTCACCCCTGAAGATCGAGCGGAGGTCCAGCGCGAAGAGCGCAATCAGCGTGCACGAGAGCGGCTCTGGGCTCATCGGGTAAGCCAAGTACGTGCATTTAGCCGAGGTATTTCATAACTTTGTTTTGTATTGCAGGATGACAGCGAAGATGAGAACGAACGCTCAAGCGAAGAAGACGACGAATGGCTTCCAGGTGATTGACGGCTCAGTACCTCTGCAACGGTTTGTATTACCTACTTCAAGTACTTTTTTCTGCATTCGTGACGCAACTTCGTGCACTTTCCACATAATTAAACCCTTAACCATGCACGGCAACACGGTGACGCAGCTCGCCCACCAGCTGCCAATACACCACGTCACTCACTTCCATGCCCACCGCAGCCGAAACATACACCGAGCCATACACGGAGCTCGAGACGGAGAACGTGACCGAGACGCCCATCGATGCCTAGCCATACACCAACTCCGAGACGAAGCCCGAGACCGAGCAAGACGAGTCGAGGCAGCAGCTGCCGCCACCTCCCACCACTCTGACATTCGCCGGAACGCAGCGTGGCCACGGCCATTTCACCCCGGAGCTATACGACGGCCCGAACGGCCTGCCCTGCAACGTGTACATCGCTGTCGCCGCCACGCACTTGTCCGAGGTGACAGAGCTCGCCGAACCGCTCCACCACACCACATCGCTGACCCCCATGGTCACCACAGCCGAAACATACACCGAGCCATACACGGAGCTCGAGACGGAGAACGTGACCGAGACGCCCATCGATGCCTAGCCATACACCAACTCCGAGACGAAGCCCGAGACCGAGCAAGACGAGTCGAGGCAGCAGCTGCCGCCACCTCCCACCACTCTGACATTCGCCGGAACGCAGCGTGGCCACGGCCATTTCACCCCGGAGCTATACGACGGCCCGAACGGCCTGCCCTGCAACGTGTACATCGCCGTCGCCGCCATGCACTTGTCCGAGGTGACAGAGCTCGCCGAAGCGCTCCACCACACCACATCGCTGACCCCCATGATCACCACAGCCGAAACATACACCGAGCCATACACGGAGCCCGAGACGGAGAACGTGACCGAGACGCCCATCGATGCCTAGCCATACACCAACTTCCCCATCCATTCGCTATAATTGACTACGTAACGTGATTGTATTGGTTGGTGTTAGAGGTTTTAAGGGCCCCGTAACTTTCAAATGATACTGAAAGAGTTAATGCGATAGGAAGTACTTTTACCAAACATAGATGTTTTCTTTAGTTCTCCATCTATGATCTCGTATTCTAATTCCGCCTTTGTTAGTTTGTCAAATGCTCCGCCATGCATCTCACCAGGATGTAATACAACCCGGTCGCCTTTTGTCGTTCTTTCTCACGAGCTTGTTCGTATGCTCCCCATTGCTGGTGACTCATCTGAACGGCTTCAATCTGGATAATATTCTTTCTTAATGGTAGCTGCAAGCGTCGGATAGAATCCCAATGCTTGGCGCTCGAATAAATCACCCTTGTATGATACCAGTCCTGTCATTCGCGCGCGAAGTTTATCTATGTTCTTCAGCTTCATATGTTTTGTGTCAATGAAGTACCGTTCAAAATCTCCTGATGACTCTGGCAACAGCGTTGTCCATTCTCCATCTTCTGTCTTGATTGGTCCCTTACAGATATTACGCGCTGGAATCATTTCCTAAAGATTATTAATGATACCAGATGCAGTTAGCATCATGATTTTGCAGTTCTTGGCAGCCATCAACATATCATACAATGCTGTAGCATTCTTAGATCCATTTGTCATTGCAACAAGGGCATTGTGTGCTTCGTCCATGATAATAAACTCATTGTCTAGTCGTAATGATTTGATCTCTATACCAGTTAGCTCATCCTGGTGGTCTCTAGTTTGTCAACCATATTAGATGCATTAGAAGAAACAAATCGGCATCGATTACTTTTTGCCCCAAACCGCTTGAGCTCCTTACGGAAGTTATCGTGCAGCGATTTTGGTGCAATAACTATACATTCTCTAAAATGTTTAAAGCGTTCTGCGATGGCGATTGCATTGATTGTTTTTCCTGAACCTGTACCATGCAGTAGTAGCATCCCACGATTTTGCGAGTGGATTGCATATTCTAATGCGGCCTGTTGATGCGGCTGAAGTTGAATTGACATAGCTGTGTTGCGGTACTATATTATCGCTTGTGAAATTGCACTTCAGATATCTTAGATATATACCAATACCACTAACACGATGAACACTAACTACAAATTCCAATATCGTAATTATTTGAAGGTTCGCGACTGGGCAACCAGCTATATTACCATCATTGATCATATGATATGGTCAGAGTATAACGCATACGAACAGCATGCTCTCATCGATGAGATCAAAAGTAATCGTGTGTTCATCTATCAAACTGAGCTAGAATGTTTAGGCGAAGACCCGACTGCAATCAAGGTAGCACGCGAATTCCTAGAAGCGTTTGAAATATTCTAATCGAGCGCCGCCGCTACGCGGCGGTGATTTTTAGTTTGTTGGCGCTTCGCTCGCTATGCTCGCTTCGCTATTGGAGCAGACTGCCTACGCTTCGCTACGGCAGTGGCGGACCCGTTCCGCTCGCCTCGTCGGCTCGCTCCGGGGCGGGTACTGCGGCCCAGCAATATCGTATGAGGGGGTCGCAGTCCGATTTGCTGCGCTCGGCAGCAAATCGGACTTAGTGGGAATCGTACTTAGTGAATAAGCGTGATCTACGCGCGTCTTTCTGATTGATTCTTAGGATACAAAATAAGTTCATACTAGCAACCCTAATAATTGGAACAGTCCAACGATTGCCTGTTTACTCAAGCAGCTGACAACGGAAGAAGAATGGAACAAGATATGTAACTTTCCGGCTGCGGCATACGTGTGGTTCAACCATGACGATAAATATCTTTTGAATGGACTAAAACATAATCCTAACGTGTTGACATATGACTACGATCGCATTGTAGATGCTCGCAAAAATTTACACCGCGAGTTATTGACAAAGCTATAGTAGCTTACTTTTTTTTGCTAAATATAGCATGATAGTTTACGTTCTTGAGTTAGCTGATGGTCATTATTATGTTGGGCGTATCGATAATTTAACGGCGCGACTAGAAGCGCATGCAAATGGGCGTGGCTCTGAATGGACTAAACAATACCCGACGATCCAACTAAAAGGAACGTATGAGGAAACTTCCCCGTTCTACGAAGATATGATCACAAAAATAATGATGGCCAAATACAGGATCAGCAAAGTTCGTGGTGGTAGCTACTCACAAGTGTTTCTTCCAAAGTCAAAGCATTTTGCAATTGTATCTGAGTTACGCGGAGCTAAAGGAACGTGCTTCCGCTGTGGTGGGTCACACTTTGTTCGCAGTTGCAAGGAACCTAGAACAGATGTAGGCGATCCGCCAGAAGAAATGGTAGAAGAATCAGGGCTTGCGTATCGTTTGTTGCAAGTGCACATCGTAAAGCAACCAGAGCAATAAATTGGTTCTGGAGCTGAAACATTTATCTGACAGCAATCATGATGTTTCGTATGCCCTTCGTTGTAAACGGATTGGTGTTACGATAGGTATTGTGGCTTTCATCCTTTTTGGCAATTTGGGGGCTCCGAGATAGGAAATAGAGGGTCCGAGATAATATAGATCTCAGATATAGCAGGAAGGGCGATCTGAAATGAGGAGAAGGGTGGGTCAAAAATAATAAATGTGGTCCGCTTTAATCATACTGGGTCCGTTTTGCCAACATTCGCCGGCAAAAATGGATGGCGCGCCGCAAGTAAGGACCTCGACTCGCTCAACACTTGCCAATCCGACGCCTAGCTGCGAAACGCAGCCATGACCTACGCCGACGACTTTCGCTGGAGGGCGATTGTCTAAGTGCATGTCTACGGTGTTCCTATTGAGCATGTATCAGAGCTTCTCGGGCCCAAGGATAGAACCTTTCGTCATCGCCTGGATCGTCACGGCCGTCCTTCGGCTCTGCAAGGACATTGCGGTCGTCCCGTGAGTCTTCGGTGGCAGACGTCTCCGTCTCAGTGTCGTCGAGTGCATCTTCGAATTCTTCGGCTACCGTCACCGTTGGCTCCGGCGCATCATATGAGCTTGCAACGCCCCTCACTGCTAAGAGCTCCGTCGTGCCGGTGTACCGCAACTGGGTGGGACCTCGCTCCGTCCAAGGCGACAGCGCATGCTGGCGCGAGGCGCACGTTATGAAGAAATGCCCCTCGAACTACGACCGCAACGAGAAGACCAACACGTGCTGGGCCGAATGCCCCATTGAGTACCCGGTGGAGTGCGGCATGGAGTGCATCCGCCAGAACGACGACTGCGGACGCGAGGTGCTCTACAAGGTCGGCTCCGTGTTCAACGTCGGCATCAACGGCGTCATGGACAACTGGTTCGGCAAGTTCTCGGAAATGGCCAAGGGCGTGCGGTCCGCCGTCATGTGCTCCTGCATGATTGTGGGTGAGCTCCGGGCACTTAACCGCTACATCCGCTCCATTAAAGCTGCGGACCTCGAGGCGTCTCAAGACAAGATCATGGTGCTGCTCTATCAGTCGAACGCTGTGGTGGTTGAACTGCCTATTACGATCAAGCTGTGTATGGGCGGAAAAACAACCCGCCAATGGTGGCTGGCGGACCGCATCATGGCCACTTCGCAGTTCATTCTGTCCCAGGTTCTGGCCCACGACGACAGCCTCATTACGAGTTGGGAGCGCTTCAAGGCCTTCATGAAGGGAGCCAACTTCACGGCCCCGCCGGAGCAGATCACCAAGGGCGAGATCGGATACCTCAAGGACGCTCTCAGGCCCAACTCGACGTGCGGCCACGACCTGCAAGGCCTCATGGAGCGCACGTGGTCGACCGTCGAGGCCTTGAGGGAGCAAAACCCCGGCATTACCAAGGACGAGCTGCGCGTCAAGATCCAGGACACGGACATCGTCAAGACGGACATCGCCACGGTGACCAGCAACTGCATGGAGCTACTGATCTCCCAGTCCGACGAGAAGACGGCCTATACCACGCGCGACAAGCTGCGCAAGACCTTCGGTGTCGTCATCAACGACCTCATCACAACGGGCAAGATCGACAACGGCACGTCCTACAAGGCCATGGAGTACGTGTACAAGGTGGTGAACCAGGGCCTCAACTTCTGGGTCGTCACGGGCTTCGACATGAGCGGCATCTCGAGTTTCATCTCCGAGTACTTCCAGTCCATCTGCGGCCCGACGCAGTTCATGGGCGAGATCGACGACGGCAGGGCTCAACATGATCCAGAAGGCGTTCAAGAACAGCACCATGTCCTGGACCAAGAAGGGCGACGGCCAGGTGATCATCAACTTCCAGAGCACCGACACCAAGAACGTGACGGTCAACATTATGTCTGGAGGCGACAAGATCGACGAAATCGACGTCGCTGCCTGTGGGAAAGCCACGTGGAAGTCAACTGTGGAGAAGCTGGGCGGCCGGACGCTGTATCTGGATCGCTGGCGTCCTGGTTTCCTGGGTCTTCCTGGCACCGGAGGTGGCTCTTTGATGCTGTGGGTCCCTCATGCAGCTGAAGGCATTGTCTGTTGAGTCGGCCATTGACCATGTTTCAAAGGTAAAAACTGTCTCGATCATCTCGTGAGTCACACAACACTACATCGGTATAACGCGCACGTGTTGACTCAACACATGTTACGGTAGGCCATAACGAAATCATCGATGACTTGAGCACGTCTGATTCAGACGTGCCCAAGTCATCGATCATTTCGAGACGGTCTGAAGCGGTACAACGAAGAAAGAAGGGAATGTCAAATGAAGGTTCAAGGAAAGCTTGACGTCGCACTTCTCGGAAACCAGAGCTTCGTAGAGGTACCCTTGAAGTTGTCCACAACAACTTTAGTGCCACTGATATCAGCTCGAAGCTTTTCCGGGTTCGAAGACGATGCCTATCAATTTAGGTTGAAGAGAACTACTGTAAACTGCACTTGGTCGACTCACTGGTAGCGACTGCTCCTACCTGTTGTCGGAACGTGCGCCGACTGCAACAGGATGGCTGCTTCTGCCCCATCGCTCCATTGAAGCCCACCGGTTTTTCCGACTTGTTCACGATGCTCAATACCAGGGACTTCCTGGAGGGCGGCGTGTATGTGTCTAACTCTTAGAGCGTGTTCGCTACGCAGCTGGAGATGGATATCTGCAGGGAGTTGGTGCAGGGAGTTGGTGCAGGGAGTTGGTGCATCTCCATCTCCAGCTTGTTCGCTACAACAGAGCGCATCTAGGTAAAATTAGCCAATTACAGTGCAACTGCAACGACTCGCTTTACTTTGCTGTTTCTTCGTCGGCCGAGAACACTGTGCCCGAGACACCGGACGCGTGGCAAGATGGACCAAGCTGCCCCGAGAGCTGCGCCTCCGTTCCCGTCAGCCAGTGGCGACCTCGTGCTGACTGCTGCCAGTTTGGACATACCTGCCTCTGATGTTGCTCTTGCCTAGACTGTGTATGCGACACCGGCCACTACTCAAACGGAATCAGAAGAAAAAGACCAATACTGGTGAAGCGTCTATCGCTACGAAGCAACCCTCCTTTGCGTGGACGACTGCAGCAGCTGATGCCTTGCTGCGGGCTCGTTTTGACACGCTCAAGCATCGTTTTCAGGGCACCAGAAGCGCGAAACAGCTTGCCGCCGCCTGGATGTTAGTCTCCGCAGAAACGTATCTAGTCTCGGGGCTCGAAGTGAAACCCCACCAGTGCAAGTCAAAGGTAAAGTACAAGGCCATCTATGATAACGTGTAGGATTTCTAATTGATTTTGTAAAAAGTAAAGCGCGGCTGCAACTTTCTTCTCAAAGCTATGCTGCCGTACTTTGGCAGCAGCAAACAGAACACCTTGATCTCGTAGTAAACCAGCAATCCGTAGGAAAGTCGGCTTGGTGCAGCGAAGATTCCAAACCAACTTGCATACGCGGCTGACTGTAGCATGAGGTCACGGTACGAATCTGTTCCTTAGGGCCTCGCGGCGCATCGTCGGATTCTCCTGATAGGAGGACTGCAACCTGTGCGACAGCTGAGCATGTAGCAACCAGTACAGCTTCCTCTTCGTCCATTGTGTGTGCGGCTGAACTGCCTCAATCTCCAGCTACTTTCTCCTTCTCCACCTCTGGGAGCTGGAGAAGGAGACGGGGTAATTCTCCAGTTGTCACGTTGTGAACTAAACTATTTTGACCAATCAAAAGACAAGAAATAGAGTTGATGAGAGGCCATCTCCATCTCCATCTCCAGCTCCAGCTACCTAGCGATTCGCTAGTAGCGAACACGCTCTTAGAGCGTGCAGAAGAAGGCGGAAGGACACGGCAAGCAGCTCTCGATGATGATCACCCACGAGTAAAGGACGATAACAACCTCAGATTTGTACAACAGCAACCACACCAAACGGGCACGAGCAACCATAGCACGATCGACGATTGGGAAATGGACAGTTCGGTAACTACATGCAGAGCGACTCGCTCTGGGAAATGGACTGGTCAAAAGCTAGAGCGACTCGCTCTGAGCGAGACAACAATATTATTGAGAGCATGCGCGCAGGTACATGTAACACCTGCGCAAGAAATGTAATTAGGATGCCATGGTACTTATATTTATAGGATTTTACTCTTCTTATTTGCTACGTTGGTCGCGCGGATAATACGCTGATGTAGAAGCGCACGGTAGTTTACGACATTGAATTTGTCGGAGCACAACTTATCCATTGATCCACGTAGCGTATGCGGGCGATCTTTCATAATCGCTGTGGATATCTTTTCGATGAAGTAGAGCAGATAAATTCCACAATCAACAGAGTTTTGCTGCTGAGGCTTGGTAGGGCAGGCGTGAAAACTCCATTTAACCGACCCCACCGAAGCTGTTTCTGGGACCCGCTCTTTCGCCAACCACCACTGCATCAAGGAAAACACGTTTGCCGTGTCATGCGCTTCTGTAGCAGAATTAACGTGATACAGCCGAATGACGCCCCCCCTGCAGGGGATTCTCAACCGCAAGAATGCTCCAGTGACTATTACCGTTAACTGGAAGAATAACAAACCGGTACGATACCCAGTCAAATTTCCCTATGTGACCAGCGAGGCGCTCGTCCCTTGCAGCTTTCGCCTTCGTTCTTTTCACGGCTTGCATCGTTCGGAAAAAAGAAGTTCCGCGGCAAAAAATTAAGCCATTCTCCCGAGGCATGAAACCATGCACAAAATAATCAACGGCGGACTCTGTCAAAGTCTGATGCGGCATAGGCTGTCCAGGTCCTCGCGATAGATCCAGCTCGTATCATCACCACGCGTCCACTCCAATATTGGCTTCTGCTTCCGCGACCTGGTAGCAGACTGCCTCCGAGGCAAAGAAGTCTTCTTAGCAGCTGTAGGCACCTCATACTCGCTCTCTTCGGACTCGTTACAATCCATACTCTCGCTACTGCTATCGCTTTCATCCGATCCAGCGCTATCGTAGCTGTCTTCATCGCTGTCTTCATCTCCACAGCCATCGAAGGGTACAGCGACGTCACCGAGGGTTACACCATTATCTTGCTCGAGCTCACTGTCCTCACCAGGGGTTACGCCGCCATCACGAGGGGTTACTCTATCATCAGTAGCGGTCACTCTATCATTTTGACCGCGCTCACTGTCGACACCAGGGGTTACGCCGCCATCACGAGGGGTTACACCATCATCACTAGTGGTTATTCCATCATTTTGAACACGCTCACTGTCGACACCAGGGGTTACGCGTCCAGCACCTCCATTCTCCTCGTGTTCACTGTCATCGCCACGGGTTACACCGCCACCACCAGAGGTTGCACCGCCATCTTTCTCGTCCTCACTACCATCGCCAGAGTGTACAACACCGTCACCAGGGGTTACGCCGCCAGCACCTCCATTCTCCTCGTGCTCACTGTCATCGCCACGGGTTACACCGCCACCACCAGAGGTTGCACCGCCGTCAGTAGAGGGTACACCGCCATCGTCAGGGGGTACACGTGCTGTGTAGCGTTGGATAAACCGTTTTACCCATGTTACTTGGGACTCTGGAATATCAAAATCCGAGTTGAACTCTTCCAGGCTCCGGCAATAAAACATCACATCGTCAAACGTCCAGTTGTCCTCCATAAGCTCATCAAGGTATTCGATTACTCTCCATTCGTCCGGCTTCATCTTGTGTTTTCGTCCTCCGCCTTCGTTGCGCTTGCGATCTGAGCCAACCTCTTTGTCACAAACATCCCAGTAGCGTTTCACCCAGCCTCTCAAAGTCGATTCCTTGACCTAATGCTCGACAGCGGCTTCTTCTAGAGTCCAATCTGGGTTATCTACTTTCCAGCGCCTTAGAAGCGCAAGCTTCTCCTTCTCAGTGCGATTCACACACACCCGCCTCTTCTTTCGGAAAAGGGGGGAAGGGAGGGGGAATTCTCGAATGATAGTCAGCCGTATATGGCCAAGCATTTTAGGTATCAGATTTAATCAGATCAAGAGTAAATATCAATTTAACTTGCGCGAGTTATTCTGAATCCAGTATTTCAGATTTACTCGCGTGAGTTATTCTGAATCCAGCACTTTGAGGTTAGTATGAAGTACTTCGGGGTTAGTATGAAGTAGTGCGTAACCGACCTACAGCAGACCAGGGGGGCTGTATGAGGTTCGAACTGCAGTGCTTACATTCCCTAAGCCCGCATTTGTGGTGATACGCTTATACTTGAGCAGTGGTCGTGAGCTTATCCGGTTAACACGAACGCCTACTCAGCCAAGTTGCCTTTCCGTCCATTGTAGCTAGTAGGGGGTTGCTTGTACAGGATGACAGCAGCGAGGCCCAAGACTTATTGACGCCTGAACAGGACAAGCGCGAAGCGACAAGTGCCGAGCACGAACTAAGTCAAGGGATGATCCAAACTACACATGTGGGCTTTATATAACTCAATGGAAACCTCCATTTTGATATATGGAGAGTAGCACATAGTGACCATGTTGCGTTGGCGGCACCAAGTGCTAATAGTTAGCAGGTGCTTCCAAGCCGATGAATTCTACTTATTAACACGGAAAACGCTGTTGAGAAATCAAGATAGATTCCGGGAGAGCTCGAAAGTGGTTTCGTTACGCGAGCCTGATTGTTCTACCCACAAAACTAGAAACACCTACAGAGTGGCATTCGAATACATACTATGTGAGTGATCAATTATATCGCTTTGTGACGTAGGTGTTTGTAGATCTTGCGATATAAGCAAGGTCCAGGAAACAACTACATGGTATCGGTGGCAACAACCAGCCTCCATTTCAACATTACCGACCTTGTGAGAAGTACTTCAGTCGTAAAAGATGTAATATTCCTATAGACACGCAGGTAGCCTCTTGCCAGGAACTAATCTAAACAAAAATTGCATGTCGAGGGCCGCCGTGGCCAGGGGGGACGGCCAATTTGGCGTCTGATGGGGACGGGCTCGGTTGGAAGTGGCAAATGCTCAGATGTGGTTGACGTAGACCATACATATGGCCCAGAACTGGTAAATGTTTCTTGCCAAGTCGCCAAACCAGTCTGAAATGAATATGGGGGAGCTGCAGGACTTGGCCGTGCAATCGGCGGGTAGAGAGGCTGGAAATGCTGTGGATCGAGCTGGAAAGCCACCGGGTCTGGTAAAGTCGCCGTGTAACCAGTTGGTCTGTAGGCATATGCTGTGTATCTGGTGTGATCTTGCGGACAAAGGTTGAAACCAGGCGCGAAGCCAATATTGAACCCGACTTCTGCCCCGACCACACCAAGACTTTGAGCTGGGAAGTTATGCGCATGTCTCCTGAGATCGGACCCGGTGTGATTGCCATGCAGCGACACTTCGTTGGCTGCCAGCAGTAAACCGGTAGCTGAATCATCTACATGCACTGTAGCCGCACTGCTCACTTGTGGACGCTTCTGGCGCACACGCCTATCCTTGAATCTTAAATTGGACCCATTAACTCCTGGAACGCTGAGTCCGTAAGCCGCAAGTCCACAGATTATGTGGGCACAAGACAGGAACTTCTTATAGAAAATACATGAGCACTCAAACGTACTCAGGTGCACCGCCCACCCGCCTCGTGGCATGCCAACGTGGTGCGCGCGGCGTACAGACCATTTCACAGCTTCCTGATAGAACTTGGCAGCGGTAGCCTTTTCTGCACCTGTTAAACACTCGGGCGATATGATGACAGGAGTTTTGACGTTGCTGGGGGCCTCCAACTCGTCAAGATCAGACAGTTCGGAGCGGTCTTCCAAATGACCACCGCAATGATATAGCACGCGAACAACCGACTTCTCGGTCGTAGCGTAAACGACGACTCGGTTGGTCGACACTAACGTTCGGGCCAGCTGCTTTGCAACTTGAGGCGGGGCGTTTGGTCCAGATGCCATGGGAGGTGGTACACACAGCGAATAATCTTCTGCAATCGTCAGTAGCTTCATCAACAAACGGCGCGTATCTGCTGCCTTGCGCTGCGTATAGCGCTTGATGCTGGCATTAAACACTTCACATGGGTTGTTGGTTGTAGCGTACCCCCCTGGAGAGTGATAAATCTGCCATCTCCAGAAGCGGCTATGAATCCATTGTGCCGCGAAATATGTCAAAAAGACGTGCAACCTTCTATCGCATTGCCACTCTTGAGATACACGCCCCCACACCTCCCAAAATTCGGTTTGGTTGAGTGTGTAGTGCATGTCAAGAATACCACGATACACCATAGCTCGCACCGAATCTGGTAAGTGTCGCATTCGCTTGCGTACATTGTACATCACGTGGAAGAAACACATCAGGTACGGACAGGTTGCACATTCTGCAACATCCCGCAGTCCGTTCAATTGGGCCTCTTCGGCGTCGCCCATTATCACGTCAACTCGAAGTGGTCTTTTCATGTGGGTCCTGAAAATTCGTGCGAAAGCTCCAATCGATTCGTAATATTCGCGTCGGGTCCTTTGGCTAACAATGAAAAGCGCGGCTAGGTGGTAGCTTCGGTGGCGATCGGTGAAACCGCACGTAACAACAGGGTAACCGATGTCGCTCAGCTTGAAAGTAGCGTCCAAGTGAAAAATGAGAAATGCTTCGCGATCCTGTAGCGAACTGATGTTTTGCATTAGCTTCAAGCTGGTGATTCCAAGTATCAACGGTTCATCATCTTCCCCGTTCCCAACAAAAGGGAAGCCGTGTTCATCTTCACGATTTCCAAACACAAACGCGGTGTCGGGATCCACTCCAGCAACGAAGGCCTTCGCCTTCACTAACTCCTTCGTCCTGACAATAGAGTTTTTAGACCCCTGCAGCCATCGATTGTACTTGACACTACGCAGAACTTGTGGGCACGTCGGAAACCCAAGCACTGGAGTCGGTATTTCAGGTGCACGAAGCATGTTGCTCCAGATTAAGCGTGGTGGTACCGCGTTTTCACCCATTCGCTGGATGTAGTCGCGCATTTCACGTGTCACCTTGGCGCGAGGAGGTAACGAACACGCTATGTCTTCACGCGCGTGTGGCTGGCCATTTGTGTACGCAATCCACCGCTTCGAAGTCGGGCACTCATGCACTTTCCAGAGCGTTGCACATTTAACAGTTCCTTTGCAGTCTGGACTCTGACAGCGAAGGCGCCGCTCAGCCATCGAGTGGTCCCCGGGGCAAATCATACACCAGCGCGTCCTTACCCAAAATATGGCAGAACAGCAAAATCGCTCCCAGCGAAACTTGACTAACGCATCTTCGCCTTGGAACTCGGCTAACTTCGTTCAGGTGTGGTTTGGAGACATCTGAGGTGGGGACAGCTGCAGCTAGGTTCTCCGCAATCTCTCGAAAGGTACTGGCTTGTTGTGTTGTGTGGGGAGCTGTTGGCCGACAGTAATCTCGTGTAGATTACACCAAGGTTGTGAAATTTGAATATTTGAAAGTCTGAGCGTCAGATTAACTCGCGCGAGTTATTGTGAATCAAGAAATTCAGATTAACTCGCGCGAGTTATTGTGAATCAAGGGGTTTAAGCTGAGCCACCTACACGTTAGCACTGGTCATCGCCGCGATCAACGTTTTGTATGGTTGCCGCACTTTGGAATACTGTAGAAATACCAGCCAGTTCAGCAACCAGCTTTGCAACCGTCATCTCATTGGTTAAAAATGGAGTACCAGGTAATGTGTCACTTTGCTGTAGCCCTTTGAGGTTGCTTTATGAGCAACGCGCTGTGAAATGAGCTGAATAACTCTTGTGCATGTAGTACTGACTGCGAGAACCTCTTTGTAAAACACTAGCGTCGCTCTCGTAGGTGCAGTACCGACCGCGAGAACAGGTCACGGCCTTGTACTCCTTGAACGCCTTAACTTTCTTCAACAGAGCGGCAACAGCTCACGCGTGCAGGCAGTACTGCTGCGGGGTCCTTCCATACCGATTTTATGAGTCTGTAGCCGCGGGACGGCTTCCATTTCACGCAGATTGCTACTGTGCGGTAGGTCTGGCGGGCTGGCTTTTATTTGTGTGAAGATGTCTGAAATGATGACACAGTTTACCTGCGTTCTCTCATCTCAGTGAGAGCTGGATAGAGTGTGCCTCTGATCCTACCTAGTAGCCGTAGATGAGGAAGTGGTAGAGGTAGCCTGCATGAAATCGTACGGGTTGTGCAGCAGCACCAGGAGGGCGCGGAGCTAGCTCTACCGGTAGCCCCGCCGCCATAACAGGCCTTCGGCTCCGACGTGACCTCCTACTACGTGCAGGTACGACAGTATGAGCTGGTTCGACCAGCCATGGAAAGCTCCAGGCCGCCGTAGGCGGTGCCACGGCTTGCCACGGTGATAAACGCTTTGCAACCCTGCATAAACGAATTCACTTGTGTTTTGTATACTGTCTCCCATACGGCGTCGTTTTGCTACCGTGACTTACAGTTTGTATAGGAGTTGAGTTGCAAAACAGACTAATACTTGCTACCGTGACTTGCAGTTTGTATAGGAGTTGAGACTAATACTTGCTACCGTGTGCGCAACCGAAGTTGCAAGCGATACCGTACCATTTGGCTACAGTACAAGCAGCAATCCTGGTCGATACCATGCAGCTGGCCAATCAGAGGTGGCGATTTCTAGAAATACAACCTGGGTTGCAAATGGCCGGTAATGTACCGGTATTAACAGCTCTGGCAATGAGGCAGAGCAACAGATCAAGCTTGGGAACTGACAATCTGGCTACCGGTACCGGTACGATGCTTGAGAAAGTACAGTTAGAAAGTGCAGGTTGCTAGTGACCGGAAAAGTGGTTGTTGACGATCACTTTCCAGCTGTTGTGGTTGTTCTCGTCTTTTTTAGATTGCCGTTGTCCCAAAGAAGGTTGTTTGTGGTCCAAAGTTGGTACACTGGCGACCCGGACTCATCACCCACGAGGAGGACAGGCACGTGTACACGTTTAATACATGTACAGGCGTCCTCGGGCTAGTCCCGGCTGTACAACCGCATATTTTAATGTACCTCGCACAGGAAGTACAACAAGCTCTCAAGATTTGCGCGCTACTTCTGCAAACGTATTGATATTGATGAGTGTACAGCGATACCTACTGCGACAAGTGGCACGGTGCGGGAATACCTCCACCGTAACTTCGTTCCAGCTGTGAGGCTTTGCCATATTTAGCGTCTAAAATGGTCGGCAAAATAACTGCAAAGCACAATAACATCTTCAAGGAAAACATACAGCACCGCAATCGCTGAAGTCGTTATTGCTCGTGATCATGAGCTTTGAAAGAGGCTGGATGGACGCGCGCGGTGGCTGCAAACCATAATCTAGCAGATCGAAGGTCTTCGACACTCTCCAATTTACCAGCAACCAGCAACACAAGGAAGAAACCTGGCCTCTGCCATGCTGCTCTACCCTGCCATCGCCTTGGCGTTGGCTCTCGGACAAGTGTCTGCGGCAACTAACCTAACCTGGACACCTTGCCCCCTCACAAGTGACAAATCCAGTGACGGTAGTCCCAAGGATAATGTGGCGGAATGCACCACGTACGCTGCGCCGCTGTGCCACCCCGGGATCTGCGAAACGCCCGACTCGGCCATCTCGACAGTTGATGTATTCGTGAGGCGAATTCCCGCTAACCGACAACCCGATGTAGCTCCAAACGTGTGGCTTGTTCAGGGTGGCCCGTCCTACTCGGACTCTCTGCGTAAGTACTGCAAGACCGTTGGAGCACGTGATGATTTCAAGGACTAACGTTTGCTGTGGGCGGTTGTGTTCCAGTGGACATTCCGATAATGATACTGTATCACCAACTGAAGGGCGAGGCGAACGTGTACACGATGGACCACCGCGGGGCTGGACAGAGTACGCCCTTGAAGTGTGCGGCCCAAGCCAAGTCGTCAAGCGCGGTCAATCTGGATCTGGAACTGGTCTCTGCATGTGCAAAGGAACTCGAGGAGAAGTACGGGGACCTCGCGGCCTTCTCGACCACCAGCGCTGCCATGGACCTGACGACTTTCATCTCGAAGTATGGCAACGATTTCAGTACGACCTTGTACGGAGTGAGCTACGGTACGATCTGGGTGGAGCGCGTGATGCATCTCAATCCTCCGGAGGTGACGGGGTACGTTCTGGACAGGGTCACCACGACCTCGGGGTCGTCGCTGGATAACATCTACAGCATGTCGGGTTTAGATGGCGCGTACGATGAGGTTGCCGACTCGTTCATGGCTTTGTGCTCAGAAGACAGCTCGTGCAACGTGCGCTTCAAGAAGAAAGGACTTAAGGCCACGCTGCAACAATTGATAATGAAACTCGACAAGAATCCGAAAGCGACGTGTGCCAAGTTGCTGAAAACTGCGCAAACCGGCCAGGACGAGGACCCGCCATCGTTTGTGCTTCGCTATCTGCTAGGCGCACTTTTAGACACGGACATGCGAACGCTCATCCCGCCAATCGTATACCGATTGTTCCGTTGCGCGAAGAAGGACGTTGCCGTTTTGACCAAGTTCATTGAGACCGTTAACCCGAGCTTCAACCCCACCGCCAAGGATATGGGCTCCGGATCCGTCCTGCTGGATTCGATCGTGGGCTTCTCGGAGATGTGGGAAGCGCCTTCACCCTCCGGTCAGGAGCTCAGGACACGCTTCGAAGGTACGATTATGAACGGCTGGCCGGCGTACACGATGCTACCCGAATACTGCGCATTCTCTAAGGAAAAATCACCAACGTGCAACAAGCTCAAGGTCGGCAACTACAAAGGGAACGGCATCATTTACGAGCGCGACGAGTACTGGAACAAGGCCGCCAAAATCCCCGAGAAAGCCAACGTGTTGCTTATGAACGATGGACTCGATGCGAGGGCGTCTCCGAAGTATGCACAGGCCTTGTTGAAGGCTCTTGACGGCCAGAAGAAGGAGCTCGTCACTTTCAAGTACACGTCCGGTAGCAGTCTCATCGACAGCAATTACGAGCCAGCTTGTGGTATGTACGTCCTTTCCTCTTTCGTGCAGCACGATGGCGACTTGACCAAGCTGAACAAGACGTGCCTTGAGGACGAGGCGGCATTTAGCTGGACGATACCGAAAGTTTACCAATACTCGATCTTGAGCACTAAGGACGCGTACGACGGTGAGTTCGACCCGAACTTGAGTGCCGATGAGGCGTCTAGCGATGCCGGCGACTCATCTGGCTCCATGGAAGAAGACTCGCCTGGTCAGGCTTAAGCCTCAATTGATTCAGCCAGCAACAGTTAAAGCATCTCTTCATCCGAAGTCGAGGACATGAGCGCAGCGGTCGAAAAAGTCACGGGTGGTGGAACGGGGCCTGCGCTGGAAAGGTTTGGGCAGCAAGTCGGTAGGCGGAGTGCGTTTCTTGGAAGATGGCAGTAAATGAGTCGGTGGCGGATTGTTCAGCATAAAACTGTCGGGCATTCGGTAGGCTTCGCGATCACTCATTGACATGTGAATACACAAGCCCGTAGATTTGTATTCCGTTGCGTGTCGACAACGAACGCTTTCACCAACTTTGTCGTGGAGAGCTCCCATCTTCTCTGCTTACTCGTGACCCACAAAAGAAGATCCGAGGTTAGTTCGAAGCACTGCGTAATATATGTAGCACTGTACTACTTCGTATTGTGCTTTGCACGAACTTTGGCATGCGATTAAGGGCTCTACACCAACGAGCAAATCCTTCCCGGTGTTCATATCTCGCAGCCTAACTCTAAGTTAAAGTTAAGCTAATCAACCGCCAGTACCAAGCACAACGCAGAGCAAGAACGGAGCGGTTGCCACTGCAAGAATAAATCGGTTGTCGCTGCAAGAAAACAAACTGATAAGGTCCCGATAGAATGGCGCCAACTCCTTGCATAATAGTAAGCACCGATTTCGGCGGGGACGTTTTCTTCTTCGCTCTCTTCGTCGTGGCCTTGCGCGTTAAACCAAGCTCGAATTTCAGAGCACGGCATATAGTAGCTGTAGAAAATTTCTACTAAAAATGTTTGGATGTGCAGGAAACGCTGACTTTAAAGCTGCTTGCAGCTCCTCGATATAAAAACAGGGATGTTCTTCAATATTGTAGATGTAGTTCAGTACGATAGATCGCCAACGCATGTCAATCATCGACTACACCTTTGCCAATCCAAGTTGGTAGTAGTGTAAGGCAAAGCCGAGAGTCACGTAAATACGAAAAATATTTTTTTCAAAAATTTATTTTCGAGGATTAGTACAGACCAATGCGGATTTAGTCCACAGCAAACATCTAAGTTCCATACTCGATGGGCTCGCTACGAATAGCAGCGGCGACAGACAGCGCACATTGTCGCGCCATCTTGTTAACGAGGCGCATGTCAATGCAAGGCATGCAGTGCTCCGCGGCTTTCTCGAGCAGTCGCATCCTACGCTCCGTCTTCTGGCCGTGCGGCACGTTGATCATCTCATCGTGGCTCAAGCCCAGATACACCTTGATGCGAGCTTTTAAAACGCTAAAGCAACCTGCACAATAATACATTGTATCGCCTCAGTACCTCTAAGTATATCGCACCAAAAGATAAGCTACCCGTACCTTCGATCGGGTTACACATAGGCGAGTACGGCCCTAGGCGTAGCAACTCCAGATCCGCCCGCTGTTGGACGAGATCCTCTGTCTGGCAGTGGGCAGGCGCGTTGTCCAGGACGATGACGATGGTCTTGCCGAGAAAGTGGTCGCGGTACACGTCGTGGGCCTTGACCGCGTCGTATACCTCGTCCACAAACTCGTCATTGACCTCCATCTTGATGCTGCCACGACGCGTGGCGTAGTGCACGAGGCCGACTTCGGGGGAACCTGCGCACTGCACCTGTAAGTTAGCCCCCTTAGAGGGAGGGAGCTTGACGATAGCGCGTTGTCCGACAGGAGCGCGACCTTGCGTCCGCTTACAGTACAGGTTGTAGTTGGTCTCGTCATAATACACGATAAAAGCACCGTTCCGCTCATGCTTCAGCAACGCTTCACCAAACACCTCCTCTTCTCGATATTTACAGCATTATTGCAGGACTCGGGCTCTACGCGAACCTATCACAGGGAACATACTTAGTACAGTAGATGGTAAAAGTGATAGCATAATAACTTGAAGGCGTACCTGCTTAACAGTGTAAAGCTTATCGCAAAGCTTCTTACTGATCAACGAAGTGCTGATGTGCACCCTGAAGTCGAACGCAAGCATTTCCTGCATCTGCACGAGTATGTACTGGCAGTTGTCTTCCAGGTAGCCAACGAGAGCTTCCTCCATTTCTGGAGTACACTTCGTGCACGCCGCCCGCGCGCCGCCTCTCTTCTTGACATCAGCGGCTTGGCACTGGACGATGTTGCGGGCAGTAGTGGGAAGGATGCCGTTGCAGTCGGCAACCAGCACCCAGTCACGCCCTTTTCGGTGTGCATCGAGCACACGCGTGCGGGCCGCAAGCCCATGCTTCGGCTCTTGGGGCATGTTGCCGGCGGAGACAGTCGGTTACTGACCAGTGATTTGAGTTTGCTCTGCACTAAATCCACATTGCTCTAAATACTAATTTCAGAAATTATTTTCCGATTTTTGGATGTTACTTAAGTTACTTCACAGCGTTTTGCTTTACACTGCTGCCAACTCGGATTGGCAAAGGTGTAGAAAGCAATCAGACAAAGCGAGTGAGTTAGAATTAGAATGTCAGGGCCGGGAGCGGTTCGGCGAGCTCTGTCATTTCGGACAAGTGCATGGCGGCGACGGCGATGTACACGTTGCAGGGCAGGCCGTTCGGGCCGTCGTATAGCTCCGGGGTGAAATGGCCGTGGCCACGCTGCGTTCCGGCGAATGTCAGAGTGGTGGGAGGTGGCGGCAGCTGCTGCCTCGACTCGTCTTGCTCGGTCTCGGGCTTCGTCTCGGAGTTGGTGTATGGCTAGGCATCGATGGGCGTCTCGGTCACGTTCTCCGTCTCGAGCTCCGTGTATGGCTCGGTGTATGTTTCGGCTGTGGTGATCATGGGGTCAGCGATGTGGTGTAGTGGAGCGGTTCGGCGAGCTCTGTCACCTCGGACAAGTGCGTGGCGGCGACAGCGATGTACACGTTGCAGGGCAGGCCGTTCGGGCCGTCGTATAGCTCCGGGGTGAAATGGCCGTGGCCACGCTGCGTTCCGGCGAATGTCAGAGTGGTGGGAGGTGGCGGCAGCTGCTGCCTCGACTCGTCTTGCTCGGTCTCGGGCTTCGTCTCGGAGTTGGTGTATGGCTAGGCATCGATGGGCGTCTCGGTCACGTTCTCCGTCTCGAGCTCCGTGTATGGCTCGGTGTATGTTTCGGCTGTGGTGATCATGGGGTCAGCGATGTGGTGTAGTGGAGCGGTTCGGCGAGCTCTGTCACCTCGGACAAGTGCGTGGCGGCGACAGCGATGTACACGTTGCAGGGCAGGCCGTTCGGGCCGTCGTATAGCTCCGGGGTGAAATGGCCGTGGCCACGCTGCGTTCCGGCGAATGTCAGAGTGGTGGGAGGTGGCGGCAGCTGCTGCCTCGACTCGTCTTGCTCGGTCTCGGGCTTCGTCTCGGAGTTGGTGTATGGCTAGGCATCGATGGGCGTCTCGGTCACGTTCTCCGTCTCGAGCTCCGTGTATGGCTCGGTGTATGTTTCGGCTGTGGTGATCATGGGGTCAGCGATGTGGTGTAGTGGAGCGGTTCGGCGAGCTCTGTCACCTCGGACAAGTGCATGGCGGCGACGGCGATGTACACGTTGCAGGGCAGGCCGTTCGGGCCGTCGTATAGCTCCGGGGTGAAATGGCCGTGGCCACGCTGCGTTCCGGCGAATGTCAGAGTGGTGGGAGGTGGCGGCAGCTGCTGCCTCGACTCGTCTTGCTCGGTCTCGGGCTTCGTCTTGGAGTTGGTGTATGGCTAGGCATCGATGGGCGTCTCGGTCACGTTCTCCGTCTCGAGCTCCGTGTATGGCTCGGTGTATGTTTCGGCTGTGGTGATCATGGGGTCAGCGATGTGGTGTAGTGGAGCGGTTCGGCGAGCTCTGTCACCTCGGACAAGTGCATGGCGGCGACGGCGATGTACACGTTGCAGGGCAGGCCGTTCGGGCCGTCGTATAGCTCCGGGGTGAAATGGCCGTGGCCACGCTGCGTTCCGGCGAATGTCAGAGTGGTGGGAGGTGGCGGCAGCTGCTGCCTCGACTCGTCTTGCTCGGTCTCGGGCTTCGTCTCGGAGTTGGTGTATGGCTAGGCATCGATGGGCGTCTCGGTCACGTTCTCCGTCTCGAGCTCCGTGTATGGCTCGGTGTATGTTTCGGCTGTGGTGATCATGGGGTCAGCGATGTGGTGTAGTGGAGCGGTTCGGCGAGCTCTGTCACCTCGGACAAGTGCGTGGCGGCGACAGCGATGTACACGTTGCAGGGCAGGCCGTTCGGGCCGTCGTATAGCTCCGGGGTGAAATGGCCGTGGCCACGCTGCGTTCCGGCGAATGTCAGAGTGGTGGGAGGTGGCGGCAGCTGCTGCCTCGACTCGTCTTGCTCGGTCTCGGGCTTCGTCTCGGAGTTGGTGTATGGCTAGGCATCGATGGGCGTCTCGGTCACGTTCTCCGTCTCGAGCTCCGTGTATGGCTCGGTGTATGTTTCGGCTGTGGTGATCATGGGGTCAGCGATGTGGTGTAGTGGAGCGGTTCGGCGAGCTCTGTCACCTCGGACAAGTGCGTGGCGGCGACAGCGATGTACACGTTGCAGGGCAGGCCGTTCGGGCCGTCGTATAGCTCCGGGGTGAAATGGCCGTGGCCACGCTGCGTTCCGGCGCATGCCAGAGTGGTGGGAGGTGGCGGCAGCTGCTGCCTCGACTCGTCTTGCTCGGTCTCGGGCTTCGTCTCGGAGTTGGTGTATGGCTAGGCATCGATGGGCGTCTCGGTCACGTTCTCCGTCTCGAGCTCCGTGTATGGCTCGGTGTATGTTTCGGCTGTGGTGATCATGGGGTCAGCGATGTGGTGTAGTGGAGCGGTTCGGCGAGCTCTGTCACCTCGGACAAGTGCGTGGCGGCGACAGCGATGTACACGTTGCAGGGCAGGCCGTTCGGGCCGTCGTATAGCTCCGGGGTGAAATGGCCGTGGCCACGCTGCGTTCCGGCGAATGTCAGAGTGGTGGGAGGTGGCGGCAGCTGCTGCCTCGACTCGTCTTGCTCGGTCTCGGGCTTCGTCTCGGAGTTGGTGTATGGCTAGGCATCGATGGGCGTCTCGGTCACGTTCTCCGTCTCGAGCTCCGTGTATGGCTCGGTGTATGTTTCGGCTGTGGTGATCATGGGGTCAGCGATGTGGTGTAGTGGAGCGGTTCGGCGAGCTCTGTCACCTCGGACAAGTGCGTGGCGGCGACAGCGATGTACACGTTGCAGGGCAGGCCGTTCGGGCCGTCGTATAGCTCCGGGGTGAAATGGCCGTGGCCACGCTGCGTTCCGGCGAATGTCAGAGTGGTGGGAGGTGGCGGCAGCTGCTGCCTCGACTCGTCTTGCTCGGTCTCGGGCTTCGTCTCGGAGTTGGTGTATGGCTAGGCATCGATGGGCGTCTCGGTCACGTTCTCCGTCTCGAGCTCCGTGTATGGCTCGGTGTATGTTTCGGCTGTGGTGATCATGGGGTCAGCGATGTGGTGTAGTGGAGCGGTTCGGCGAGCTCTGTCACCTCGGACAAGTGCGTGGCGGCGACAGCGATGTACACGTTGCAGGGCAGGCCGTTCGGGCCGTCGTATAGCTCCGGGGTGAAATGGCCGTGGCCACGCTGCGTTCCGGCGAATGTCAGAGTGGTGGGAGGTGGCGGCAGCTGCTGCCTCGACTCGTCTTGCTCGGTCTCGGGCTTCGTCTCGGAGTTGGTGTATGGCTAGGCATCGATGGGCGTCTCGGTCACGTTCTCCGTCTCGAGCTCCGTGTATGGCTCGGTGTATGTTTCGGCTGTGGTGATCATGGGGTCAGCGATGTGGTGTAGTGGAGCGGTTCGGCGAGCTCTGTCACCTCGGACAAGTGCGTGGCGGCGACAGCGATGTACACGTTGCAGGGCAGGCCGTTCGGGCCGTCGTATAGCTCCGGGGTGAAATGGCCGTGGCCACGCTGCGTTCCGGCGAATGCCAGAGTGGTGGGAGGTGGCGGCAGCTGCTGCCTCGACTCGTCTTGCTCGGTCTCGGGCTTCGTCTCGGAGTTGGTGTATGGCTAGGCATCGATGGGCGTCTCGGTCACGTTCTCCGTCTCGAGCTCCGTGTATGGCTCGGTGTATGTTTCGGCTGTGGTGATCATGGGGTCAGCGATGTGGTGTAGTGGAGCGGTTCGGCGAGCTCTGTCACCTCGGACAAGTGCGTGGCGGCGACAGCGATGTACACGTTGCAGGGCAGGCCGTTCGGGCCGTCGTATAGCTCCGGGGTGAAATGGCCGTGGCCACGCTGCGTTCCGGCGAATGTCAGAGTGGTGGGAGGTGGCGGCAGCTGCTGCCTCGACTCGTCTTGCTCGGTCTCGGGCTTCGTCTCGGAGTTGGTGTATGGCTAGGCATCGATGGGCGTCTCGGTCACGTTCTCCGTCTCGAGCTCCGTGTATGGCTCGGTGTATGTTTCGGCTGTGGTGATCATGGGGTCAGCGATGTGGTGTAGTGGAGCGGTTCGGCGAGCTCTGTCACCTCGGACAAGTGCATGGCGGCGACGGCGATGTACACGTTGCAGGGCAGGCCGTTCGGGCCGTCGTATAGCTCCGGGGTGAAATGGCCGTGGCCACGCTGCGTTCCGGCGAATGTCAGAGTGGTGGGAGGTGGCGGCAGCTGCTGCCTCGACTCGTCTTGCTCGGTCTCGGGCTTCGTCTCGGAGTTGGTGTATGGCTAGGCATCGATGGGCGTCTCGGTCACGTTCTCCGTCTCGAGCTCCGTGTATGGCTCGGTGTATGTTTCGGCTGTGGTGATCATGGGGTCAGCGATGTGGTGTAGTGGAGCGGTTCGGCGAGCTCTGTCACCTCGGACAAGTGCGTGGCGGCGACAGCGATGTACACGTTGCAGGGCAGGCCGTTCGGGCCGTCGTATAGCTCCGGGGTGAAATGGCCGTGGCCACGCTGCGTTCCGGCGAATGTCAGAGTGGTGGGAGGTGGCGGCAGCTGCTGCCTCGACTCGTCTTGCTCGGTCTCGGGCTTCGTCTCGGAGTTGGTGTATGGCTAGGCATCGATGGGCGTCTCGGTCACGTTCTCCGTCTCGAGCTCCGTGTATGGCTCGGTGTATGTTTCGGCTGTGGTGATCATGGGGTCAGCGATGTGGTGTAGTGGAGCGGTTCGGCGAGCTCTGTCACCTCGGACAAGTGCATGGCGGCGACGGCGATGTACACGTTGCAGGGCAGGCCGTTCGGGCCGTCGTATAGCTCCGGGGTGAAATGGCCGTGGCCACGCTGCGTTCCGGCGAATGCCAGAGTGGTGGGAGGTGGCGGCAGCTGCTGCCTCGACTCGTCTTGCTCGGTCTCGGGCTTCGTCTCGGAGTTGGTGTATGGCTAGGCATCGATGGGCGTCTCGGTCACGTTCTCCGTCTCGAGCTCCGTGTATGGCTCGGTGTATGTTTCGGCTGTGGTGATCATGGGGTCAGCGATGTGGTGTAGTGGAGCGGTTCGGCGAGCTCTGTCACCTCGGACAAGTGCGTGGCGGCGACAGCGATGTACACGTTGCAGGGCAGGCCGTTCGGGCCGTCGTATAGCTCCGGGGTGAAATGGCCGTGGCCACGCTGCGTTCCGGCGAATGTCAGAGTGGTGGGAGGTGGCGGCAGCTGCTGCCTCGACTCGTCTTGCTCGGTCTCGGGCTTCGTCTCGGAGTTGGTGTATGGCTAGGCATCGATGGGCGTCTCGGTCACGTTCTCCGTCTCGAGCTCCGTGTATGGCTCGGTGTATGTTTCGGCTGTGGTGATCATGGGGTCAGCGATGTGGTGTAGTGGAG